TCACACGCCATGCAAGACGCATTTGCTGTGTCAATATTGCGTGTGTCGAGATCAGCGAGAAACAACGCTGATACACCTCCATTTTCTTGTTGTGCAAATCCAAGAGTGCTGTTCCTCTTCCATCTACCAACCTTTCAAAGCACCCCTCCTAACCATTTTAGGGTTCTTGGGCTTCCTTGTTTGCTCCCCAGCGACACATTGGAATCTCAATGATTCAATCCCAACAGGTAGCCAACAAACGAATTCGGCAAATCGGTGGCTCGTGTATGGGCCAAGCATCGAATGATTCCCACCAAAAAATTTCCCGGAAAAAAGTTCGTGGGAGGAGCAAAAAAATTTCTTTTTTTCCTTCCACCAGCATAACGGCCCGAGATGAGATGAGCAGCGATGAATGAGAGATGGTCGATTATTCCGACAGAGCACAAGTTATAATGCACTGCCCCTTTGTTTTGTTTGACGCTTTCTTTGCCCGCAACACCCGCCACGTTTCCTGAGCACCGGCAAGCTTCACCACTTCCACGTGAATCCACGCACCACGTCGCGCGTTCGATTCCCATCCCGCCCATCTCCTTTGCTTTTTTAATTTTCCTCTCTCTCTCTCTCTCTCTCTCGCTTTGTTTCTTCTTCCATGGTTTTTAATCCTTGGATAAGTTTTCCCTGACACCTTTGCCATATAACGGGCCACAACAGAGTGAGATAAGCAAGAGTGCGTGCTTCACTCACTCACTCTTTTTCTTTGTTTTTCTGCCTTCTCCTTCCTCTTTTTTTTTATCTCGCTTGCAAGCGCGCTTGTCGACTTTATATAAAAATCTTTCCCTCTTTTGCCATCTGTGTGCGCGCTGCGTGCGACGCAGAGAAGATTCAAAGGCCTCATTCCAAAGCGAGGGCCGTTTTTTCAGAAATCTGCGCATTATGCGTAGAAACAAAAACCATGAAAACCAAAAAACCACCAGCTAAAGCTTGGAAAAACGAAAACTCACCTCTTCTCGCAGCTCGAGCGAGTCGAGGATATTCGTTCCCGGCAGCCATCATCTGAATAGCGTGCAAGCTACGCATGCCTCCCCCCACGTCACATAAAGCAAAGCGGAAACAAAAAGTACCTTAAGCCTTTCCTGTTGTTGTTGTTGTTGTGGTTCCTTCACCTTTTTTTTCATCCTCCTCTTTTTTATTTTTCCGCTTAAACCATCCAGTCTCCAGTCCTGATTTCCAGTCGCTTGCTCCTCATGGTTTTTAACTGCTAGAAAAACTCCCTCTCATCAGAGACCAAAGCACAGGGAATAACAGTAACTTACACGAGCCAGCATCGGTACCAGAAGCAACAGCCCTTTGATAAATCCCCTCATTTAAGCAGGAGACTCTTCTCATTACTTCCCCCAAAGAGAAGAGCTCAAGCACGTCCGTCTAGTGTTGTGTCGGTGTGTCCACCGCTCCCTCAAAAGCTAGAGATCATCAGTGAGTCAGTCCACCTTCGCAAGATCAGCAAATGACTCACCATGCGCGTCGATCGATGCATTCGTAGCAGTCAAACGTAAAAAGCGGCAAGCGATTTCTTTTTTTTTTTGCTCCAGCTCCTTTCCTCGTTTGTAATTCCATCTACGTGAAAGAGGACGGGTCCGAGAGAGATAAACATGTGTGGATGGTTAGCACAGTTTAGGAGGTACAGCAAAGCTTACCTGCACGTATTTGCCGCACGGGGAATGGGCCTTCAGCGGACAATTCTCAACGAGCAGCAGGATCGCCCGTCATCGCACTAGACATCTTCTTGCTTCTTCCTCTTTCTCGATAGCTCAGAGCTGGCTCCCACCAATTCTTCTTGCTTCAGTCGAACTTTCCTTTGATCTTTCTCCTCGAAGTTTGAGAATTTTGTCTGGCCTCTCGAAGATGAGCAACGGGGCCCCCTGCGGTGCTTGCAAGTTCCTGCGAAGGAAGTGCGTCAACAATTGCATCTTTGCACCACACTTCAACTCGGAGCAGGGCGCTGCACGCTTCGCAGCGGTGCACAAAATCTTTGGAGCAAGCAACGTGACCAAGCTGCTGCATCATATCCCCGTAGCCAAGCGGAGCGATGCGGTGTTGACGATCTCCTACGAAGCACAGGCCCGTCTTTCTGATCCTGTCTATGGCTGTGTCGCCACAATTGTTGCTCTCCAGCACCAGGTAAGAATCTCGATCACTTCCCATCTTTGCATCACCTTCTCCATCATACAACTTTTTTCCTCGGCTTCCTCTTTCATCTGTGATCTTCACTTCAATTCCCAATGCACGAACAATACTTGTCCACCACGAAGTCCAAGTCTGCTTGACCCGCCAGTAGAGCCAAAACTTCTTTTTGCCTTGCCTTATCTCGAAACAAATTCATCTCGAGTTGATCCCGAGAGCTGCGATCGAGTGCTGAGATCTTTGACCAATCATTCTGTCCTTTCTATTTTCTTGCTGCTCTCTCTCCCAATTCCGTTACGAATATCTTCCTTGCAGATATACTTGCACCTGTACTGACTGTGAAATAACCTTGTCTATTCTGTCCAGCAAGAGGTCCCAATCGAAGCTCTCTTTGTGTGACGGTCTTTCTTTTTCCCATACTCCCCTTCCCCTTTATATTTTTGTTCTTCTTCGGCTTCTTTCCGATTGTTCTTGTTGTCGTCGCTCAGGTGGCCAGCTTACAAGGCGAGCTCATGAACGTACAGATGCAGCTCTCGAAGTGCGTGGCATCGTTGCAACAGCAGCAGCAGCAGCAGCAGCAAAATCCCTCTGCGGTTTACGAGCAAGTCGTGTTCCCTGTTCCCATGTCGGCCACTTCCGCTCTTGGAGGAGAAATCCAGAGCTCTACAGGAACTTACATTCCTCACCACTACCGAGGAACCTGCAAGGAGGACTTTTGTGGCACCTCCTCCCCACCGCCCCTTGTTTCTGTATCGACAGGAGTGAGCCAGGGAAATAACAGCAATAACAATCACGCACCGATTGTCCTCAAGGGATCAAGCACCAGGAGCTTGGACGTCGATGACGAGGAAGAAAACCATCAGCAGCAGCAGCAGCAGCAACAGCATTTGCAACAGTTCTGGCCCGGAACAACTCCAACAGCCATCGCCTGAAGACCATCTAACGAAGTGATGCAAAGTTGGAAAAAAAAAATTGTTAAGAAAGATCGATATACTATATGACATACCACTGTAATATTTAGTTTTTTGCCATGATCCCACATTTTGTAGTGCACGTGGTTTTTACCCTTTATCCTATGGTGATTTACCCGACTAAGACACAACAGAGAGAAGCATATAAACGACACGCAAGTCACTTGAGTTTGATCACACAGTCCATCGATCAGAAACTCTGCTAATTTTGTACTTCACATCTTAAACGCAACGATAGTGTTTCAAGCACGAAGAACTATGGGTTGAAGAGGCAAGCACGACAGGAAACATGCCAGGAAACAATCCCAAAACCGGTAAATTTGCTGCGTACAAAGGAATCAATCATAAGGAAGAGTTTGGGTACCTTTGCAAGAACACCCGCACTGTCTTCTCGGCATAGAAGTTGCCTCCTAAAAAACCATTAAAAGGTTTCAGGAAAAATAACACGGTATTTCGTAAATCCTCTACCTTGATCTAAGCTTCTCATCCAGATTTCCTCGCGGATATCACTGGCCGCTCCTCTCTCTTTCTCTCAATGCTGGCCCTCTATTTTCACTTCCTTCTCCAGCACAAACTGTTTGTACACAACGCTCTGAAAGGAGCCTAAAAGAATCAAGTGTACCTGAAAGATCAACGCGCTGCCGCCAAGAATGCCGCTCTGCCGATCGATCGATGGCGATGACCCTGCCCTAGAGAGCTCCCGCGCAAGGAGACTTTTGACTTTAAGAACCCTAATTCCCTAAGCTGTACACCGTGTACAATTACGTGGAGACACGTCAATTGCCAGCTCACTAGCCAGCACCAACGGTCCAGAGCTTGCCATGTGTTTGTGGTGCCGCCGTACAGCCCTCCCGCCACATTGAGCGTCTCCCTGGAGCTTGCAGGCGCCGAGCAGGCTGGCCACGGTCATGGGATCCGGCTCGTACGGCATGGCTAGGATGAGCTCCTCGGCCTCGGGTAGCCATCCCGACCGTCCAAGGAGGTCCACGATGCAAGAGTAGTGCTCCATTCTGTGCTCCACGCCATAATCTTGCCCTAGCGACACGAAGCACTGGAAGGCCGGCTCGATCATCCCGAGATGAGAGCACGCCGTGAGGATGGCCGTGAAGGTGATCTCGTTGGCCAGCCCGCCCTCGAGGCTGATGATCGGCAGCATCGCCACCGCCCTCGCGGATTCCCCGTTTTGATCCAGCGCCGAGATCATGGAGCTCCACGAGATCTCGTTGTGGCGCCACATCTTCTGGAAGACCGCAATTGCGCGATCGAGGCTGCCGCATTTGCCATACATGTGGATGAGCGCGTTGGCCAGAGGCGTGGAATTGGATCCAGCGCCGCCAGCGATCTGGGCATGGATGGCGGCGCCGCTGCCTAGCGCTGTAAGATCAGAGCAGGCGTCCAGCGCGCTCACGAATGTGGCCTCGCTGCGAGCTCCCGGGTGATCGATTCCCGCGAAGAAGCTGAGGGCTTCGTCGCCTCGCCCATTGCGAGCGTAGGCTGCGATCATCGAGTTCCAGGAGACGATGTCCCACGCCGGCATTTGATCGAAGAGGCTGCGGGCATCCTCGAGGTGGGAGTGATGGTGGCTGTAGGCGGCGATCATCGTGTTCCAAGAGATCGTGTCATGCTCGGGCATGGATTCGAAGATCTCGCGAGCATGCCGGGGCTGTGAGGTCTGCGCGTACGCTGCAAGCATCGAATTCCAAGAGAAGATGTCACGCTCTGGCAATGAATCAAATAGCCTCTTTATACTTTCACAATGCCTGGTTTTGGCATTTGCTGCAAAGAAAGAGTTCCACACAACAATGTTCCATTCTGGCATCTCGTCTAAGACTTCTTTAGATTCTACAAAGTTGGCGTGCTGAAAATACATGCCTGCCATTGTTGTCCAAGAAGCAATGTCATGCAATGGCATAGTTTTAAACACGTCCTTTGTTTTGTCAAAATGCCCATTCTGGGCATTCGCAAATAGAAGGTGGTTCCACGAGACGATATCTGGAAAAGGCATCTCGCAAAATATTCTTTCAGCAGCGTCACGATTCTCGCTCTTAACGCATGCTCCAATCATAACATTCCACGACTGCGAGTTCCAACACGGCATTCTATCAAACACTCTTTTCACCTGCTCAAAATGCCCAACACTGGCATATGCTGTGAGCAAAGTAGTCCAAGAGACAACATCCGGCTCGGGCATATTCGCGAGCAATGCCGCCGTCTCGCGTGTACCCTGGCATCTGGAATATGCCGCTAGCATCGTGTTCCACGTCACGGCGCAGCGCTCGGGCATGGCATCAAACACGGCGGCGGCGTCCAAAAGATACCCGGCATCCGCGTAGGCGGCCAGGAGGAGCGTCCACGAGAAAACATTCGGTGCGTGGATGGAATCGAACACCGCCCGCGCCGAGATTAGGTCACCGCAGCGCCCATACATCTGGATGAGGAGATTGGCGAGGTAGCGATCGTGCTTGTGGGCGCTCGCGAGGATCTTCGAGTGGGCGCGCTCGAGGTCGCGCGAGTGTTTGCTCGATCTGATCGCGGCGGCGAGCTCTCGGGAGGAGCAATCACAGTGGGCATCGGGTGCCCGAGCAAATTCAATCATGTGTGTGTGTGTTTGTACAGAAGAGTGGAAATCCACGCGGCAGCAGTGGGCTTATACACAAATGGAGTGGGCTGGAGTGGATCGATCGCTGCGATTGCGTTGATCTCTCACCAATCTTCCTTCATGACCTTGGCCTTTTCGAGGATGAATTTGCCCTCCTTGTATTTCTGGGATTCCTCGTAGGCGCGCTCGTACTTCCAGCCAAGGATTTCCTGGCACTGTTGGCAGAAAATATCGGCCACTGTGTGAAGCCCAGTCATGAGATGCCTGTCCTCTTTCTGGCCGACGCTTGTGTTGACGACGTGGGAGAAGAGATAAGCTCTACCGTTTCTTCCCTGGAAATTCGCAAGGATGAGTGGAGTGGAGAAGCTCGATCAACACAAATCGAGGCAATGGCAGCGAGAAAATGGGGAGGATCGGCGAGATTGGAGCGAAATATTTGGAGTTGGGAGGAGGACGAGAGATCCGGATAAGGAAAGGAGAATAGGATCTCGGGCATGAGATGGATCGATCACCTGGAATGCCTTGGAGATGATGTCGTCGTGATCGGCGATGTGGCTCCGGCAATTGGAGCAGCTGTAGATTCTGGGGCCCGTGAGCTCCACCGAGAAGCCGCCGCCGCCGCCCGCCGCCGCCTCGCCCATCCCAGAGCTCCAGAATTCCTCCCAGATCGCAGATCGCGAAGAGAGAAGGATCGATCGAGCGTGAGGGGAAGGAGACCCTAATAACCAATGCTTAACATAACTGCAGTTAACTACCAGGGGCATCTTTCTTTAAGTGCGCTAAAGGCATCGCTTATCTTTGCTTATCCAGGAGGAACTGAAGGAAGACACGCTACGCTTCCGAGAAAGAGAAAAATCTGACTAGGTAGCTCGAGCGCTCTCGGATAATAAAAAAAAAGAATAAGAGAGAATCTTTGGCGCTCGGTCCAAATCAATCTCTTGTTTGTGCGTAGAGCTAGGACGAAACACTCTTTATCCCATGAATAATGTGACACGATTCATACGTTCGCAAAACAACATGTGTTTGATTCTATGTCCAATTGCGTGGCCCAGGTGATTGTCAACAAGTCTTCGGTTCTCTAACATCAACGTTCCTGTGATCACAGTCGTCTCTTTGCTACCTCTCCAAGATCATCTCGAGCTTACATGAGCTCCATTTACAAGTATTATCGACAAGACTCGAACCCGAAACGTATGTTTGAGTCCTAAGTAGTGGTATTGAGCAAAAGATTTTGCATAAAAGTCCTGGTTGGTTTACCTCTAAGAAAACATGGGTGAAAAGAAAAGAGAAGGTTATTCTGGAAAATCAGCCACCCATAACGAGGCGGGAATGCCTCTGCCGATCTTACCTTCACGGCTCCCTAGGAAAGATCGAAACGTTTTCCCTCCACTTTCCTATTTAAACTTTGGTACTCCGTGTTGAGCTAGGGTTTTTAGGGTCATGGCCCGCGAGCCACTTCGGCTCGTCTGGAGGCGCCCGGCGCGACAAGAGCCACAGCGACCGGAGCCGCCGCCCATCAACGATCCATCGCCGCCGGCCCTCTGCTGGCGCCCAAAGCCCCTGCCGCCGCCAGATCTTCCACCGCCACCGGGCTGCTCGGGCCATTGCAAGTCTCAGCCGCGACCACCCCGGGTAACGATCCAGCACCAAGATCACCGTAAGCACGATCCATGGCTAGGGCTGCCGCGAGAAATCCAGGAATCAGTGCTCGAGAGGCTCCCCCTCTCGTCGCTCATGACAGGCCGGGCGGTGTCCAGGGCGTGGAATGCCACGCTGTCCGCCTACTGCCCCCGTGTCCCTGCCACGTTGCTGGTGCTCAGGGCCAGGGGTTCCGTCCAGCTCATCGCGTATGACACGCGGGACAGGCGCTGGGCAGGGCTGCCCGAATCTTGCTCTCTGCCCGAATCCTCGTGCTTGGTTGGGGCAGCCGGTGGACTCGTGTGCGCGACGACCGACTGCCCGGGCAGGCTGGTGGTAGGTAACCCGTTGACCGGTATGTGGGATGATGTGGTGTTCCCGTTTAGGTGGCACTCCACGGCGGGAAATCCAATGCACGCCCTTGCCACGCGACCACGCGGAGGCTACCAGATCATCAGCGTCAACGCCCTGGGGGACGGCAAAGTTGTGGTCTACGACGCAGGTCAGTGGTCAACGTGGAAACCGATCGCTGGTTACAGGCATGGCGTTCGCGGCGTTGACTTTATGGTTGGCGGCGACACGCTCTACTACAACATCCCCCATTTTCACGGCGGAGTGATCGAGATCTGGCTTGTGTCTTACTCCCTGTGCGATCAGTCAACGACTGTGGCTCGACCAAGGTGGCCCGTTGACATTCCCAGCTTTGTGGGAGTGGGAGCGATGGTTTACTGCGGTGGTCAGCTCTTTGTGATGGACGTGATATGCCCGGACAAGGAGTACTTTGGCTGTGTGCTGTTGCTGCTGCCGCCGTACACCGTGGGAGTGTGGCGCTTTGTGCCCGAGAGTAACGAATGGGTGATGGAGACCAAGTGCCCGGTGGTGACTAGGGGACGGAGAAATGGGTTTTGCTGCGATGGTGGCGACACTTTGTGGGCGGTATTGCTTAGCGAGGAGGGCATGGTGGAAAACCTGGTAAGCTATAGTATCGGCAAGAAGGAGTGGACTTTTCATTCGGCTGGTTGTAGTTTTCCAGTGTCTGTTTTTTCGTGTGTTTTTCTGGACACTTCCAAGTAATAATGAAATGCTCTACAAGAAAAAACGGAAAGGACATAAAAATGGAGGACCTGACACATGATTCATACCCAACCATACCCTTGTAGGGAATATGCATGAGAAAAATGTAGAGAATCCTTGGCCCTCATCTTGGATGATGCTAAAGGTGCTCTCGTACCCGCCCCAGACCATGTGGAGCCTGGAGCCTGGCAGGAGGGATCTTGATCAAGAGAGCTTGTTCGAACTTCGGGATCACTTATATCTTTGAAGCCATACTCCCAGCTGTAAAGATCGTCCAGAGTTTACGATGCACTGCATTTGGAAGTTTAAGATAGAACAACCAGACTCTTGATGAATTTCTTTTCTCTATCCGTTTGGAGTCCTTCATGGAGATTCCATTGTAAGCGGCCACTTTCTAGCACTGCAGCGGTCGTCCCTGCCAAGTCAGTTCCACGGAATGTCTTTATAAGCTGGAATCCTTTAATTCACGCAGTAGGGTATAAGGCTCCGAGATTGTGAAAAAACAAAATTTTTTTTTTCAGGGAGCATTTGAGAACGAGCGGCCATGTGGGGTGTGGCGTCGCGTGCGTTCGAGATGGACCTCCGCCGTCCGGAGATGGTTACCAGTTTGCTCGATCTTCTGAGTGAGGCACTGGAGCAGGCAGCTTTTTGCCGCATCGTATCGATTTTCCAGTCGAGCGGATGGGGAAAATCGAGGACCATTTGTGAGCTGTGTAGGGAGGATGTTTGGGTAGTCTATTGCTCATTTGCGCAGGGGACAGGATATCCCAGACGTTCTCCCATAGCCGCGTGGTTTCTAGAGAGAGTGAACTCAGTTATTAGTTCAGAAAAGGAGGGGCAGCTATCTTGCATGGCATTCTGCCTGGCCTACTTCGAGGCGGTACTGGAAGAGTTCCTCATAGTGGCTCCATCGCTAACGCCGGAAAAATTTGTCAAGATCCTGTATAGAAGTGGGGATACGGACGAGGACGGCAAGGCTAGCTCCCCTTATCCAGAGCAAGGCATCCGGTTCTGGGACGCTGTCAAAGTGAGAGTGGAGCAGCTGCTACCGGTGTATGTTGGTGAGGGCCTTTATCAATCCAAAGGCGACACCAGCGGGGACTGCTGGAAAGATTGGGAAGAGCGGGCTGCCCGCCGAATGGAACCAGTGGTGGAGAAGTTGGAAAGGTTTTCACCAGGCAGCAATAAGTTGAAGGTACTCTTCGTCTTTGACGAGGCAAGGATCCTAGTACCGGAGCTGCTTGATAAGAATGTATTCTTGCCCCTGCGACGAGCCACTTCCGCATTTAGGCAAGGTGACGGGGTTCTTGCGCTCTTTGCTGACACGGCCAAGATAGGAAACTTCGCTGGGGAAATATGGATGGACCCCTCGGACCGTCTGCCGGGTACGAATTTGAGACTGGCTACTCCAATCTGGGCCTGTTTCTGGGCGGATCATGGCATAGCAGAGTGGAACACTATCTGCAGGCAGCATGACATTCCCGAAGATGACGTTTTGTCTGAATATTGGCCTCTGAGGTACGGTAGACCCCTGTGGTGGTCGACGTTCAGGGGTGGCCTGGAGCGATATTCAAGCGCTAGGGCCCTGACGAATGTTTTCAACCTCGCCCGTGACAAGCTACTGGGTGGAAGAGGAGGCTGGTCCAAGTATGCTCTCTCCCCCAGTTCACAAGATAGCCGCCTCAAAGAGGAGGCGGCACTAGCTGTGGTGGGTTCAAGGTGCGCCATCCATATTGATCCACACTGTGCTGTGGTTTCCACACTGGTGGCAAGCTATTTGATGACAGTAATCAAAGTGAACGAGACTCGGGAGTGCCTGTGGGCAGGCTGGCCTATGGAACCAATTCTTGCAGGCGCTGCAGCAGATATTATGCGAGAGTTGGACAGGCGGCAAAGGAACAGGGAGCTTTACTTCCCGCTCGCAATGGCTCTCAAGAGTGGATGGGTGTCCAAGGGCTACAGAGGCGAGCTTGTAGCCAGGATTATCATGCTGCGAGCTCTTGACAAGGCGAGCATGAAAGCCAGGAGGAGCTGGTGCACAGTCGATGAGTTCGTGGAGGAACTTGTGGGAAAGTCATTGTTGCGGCTTGCTCGTGAGCAGGACAATCAGTACGAGGCCAGATGTCAGAAGAAGCAGAAGGTTGACGGGAATGGGATCAAGTTCCTGACCAACGAGGTGCAACAAGTAGCGGCTTCTAAGCTTTGCATAACCTCGTTCCACAAGATTCACAAGAAGAGCGACGAGTTGTCGCAGCAAGACTTGCGGGCGGCTTCTGAAAGAAGATGTGCCATAGTAGCTGACGACAATACGTGGGGTGTTGACCATTTCATTGCTGATGCGGAGGGGACTGTGAAGGTGCACAATCAGGTGAAGGCCAAAGATTCAGACTATGGCCTCATTGATCTGGCCAAGGAGTCTCCTGCCTTTTGCGGGCTGCCCAACACCGGCCCATTTCTGAGCCTTCACATGAACGTACTCGGGGATGGTGACAAGGTGACTTTGGTGGATCCTCACCGTGTGGAGCAAGCTGTGCGTGGACAAACGAAGAGCAAGGTGCTTGAGGCCGTGCTGGAGAGCGAGGCCCAAGCAAAAACAGGAGGCTCAAAACGGAAATTATGGGAGAAGCAGCGAGACAAGAACCCGAGACTGTTTGAGTCTTGGAAGTCTTGGCTTGATCTGCCTCGGGGGAACCAAGTCATCTTGAAAGCAAATGGGCTTGGAGCATTCAAGCAGCTCTTGGGGCATGATATCTTTGGCTTGCTGCAGGAGATGATGGTGTCTGCCTCGGTGTTAGATCCGTTGCAACCGTTTGATAGGATGCAGACGGACAGTGTAGACAGCATGTTCCCTGTTGCGAACGTCACTCGCTAGACTTCTGGCTGCGCAAATGTTAACAAATACAGCTGGACACTAACTAAAGAGATTTTGCTGCCCGTAGTGGATGTGCCTCCAGGAGCACAGATTTGCCCAGCTGCTCGATCCACACGTCCGGCCGCTCTTGGCGTTGTTCTTCACCACGTAGTAACTCGGAAGCTTGGTGTTCTTGCCATACTTTCCTGAGCTTGTCAACCAAAACTTGGCACCCCTCATTGAGCCCCGTGCCAACCTTGCAAAACGAGTTGGTAGGCACCAATGATCAACACGCTCTCCTTCACGTAGTCGGGCTTGAGCTTCATCAGTTTCTTCAAAGTCCTTGACGACCTCCCGGCTGTCCACGGTCATCAGGAAGAACTTCTCGACGTGGACAGCAGACTGCGGAATGATCAACCGAGCTGGCCGCTGCAGTTCCTCCGATCCGGCTGGAGCAGCTCGAGAACAGTCGTCACCCTTTGCCCGAGCAGCTTCTGTCACTCGCAGAGAGGCTGGCGAATCACGCTGCAATCGTCCACGTAGAGAATGTCGAAGCTGCTCGACGCCATTGTCCCCAAACTTGTTTGTCACCCGGTTCCACACCGGACCTGGCACCGATCGCCATCGAACTTACACTCGGTAAGCATTCCCCCTCATCCTTCTTCGGCGTTCTTCACTCTGGACGCGAGCTGCGGCCTCACTGCCTTGCCAGCCTCGACGTCCTGGCGCCTGAATCGCACCGGCTTCTCGCAAACCAGCTTCAGCTCGTCGGCGTCGGGGTGGAACTCCTCGAACACCGTCTTCTCGCTCAGCTTGATGATCATCAGCAGCCACTTGATCTCCACGGGATTGGTCTTGTTGATGAACTCGGCAAGAACCTTGGATTTCTTCACGGTCTTCACCTCGGCCAGCTGATCCAGGAGCTCGCGCTTGACGGTGAGGCCGCCCGAGATGTGGCTCTGGCGGCTGCCCACGATTTCGGCGGCGACCAGCTCAAAGTTACCAGCACCGATTCCTTGAGGCCGTAGTTGCCGCGTCCAGCTCCAGGCACATCACTTCCAAGAAGAAAGCCTTCTCGAGCACCTCATTTGGGATTTGTGGTCGAGACCCAGACTCAGTTAGTAAAGTCAGCAATATGAACACCTGGCACATAAAAGGTGCCACATGGGAAAACCTAGTGAACTATAAATGGAGGATTGCCCTTTTGTTTAGGGTTTTGTTTAGCAGAGATGGAAGATGCATTGGATCTGTGGAGCTCAGAAGTAAGAATAGAAGAGGCGTTGGGCCATCCCATAACATTCCCAATGCGAGAGGTGTTAGATGTTGGTAAAGCTATTGGTGGTTTCAGAGACATCTTTTACAGAAATTATTTGTATGCTGAGCTTTCTGATGATCTCTACTCCATTCTTTTGCTGCTCTACATTGGAAAATTGGTAAGAGTTTTATTTATTCTTACCCTGTTTATTAAATCATTATTCCCTAGCAACGCGATGTGCAACTCAACCTTGGCTTGGATAATGATGAAGCGGATCAAGTCACCAAAGTTGTGGATTTACTTTATAAAGGTTCCCTAGATGCAGCTCAACATTGGCTCCAAACAGGTAGATACATTACATAAATTCATCTCAAGTAACTCTTTCTTCTTCCAGGCCAAAATCGCATCCAGGCTTTGGCAAACTCGGAAGCATTTTATGTCCCACCCGAGTTAGGAAATGTTCCCAACAACCTCAAATTCCTTAAGAGACCAGGATTTTACCGAGAGCTTGCTGATAATTCTCAATTCACGGATTTTGTGTTCCCTCCTTTGACTTCCCAGGTAAGACTAGGTTTCGCCTGCAGATCATTCTGAATTGGTGGATTTTGTGTTGACACGCCAGGAAATGGCAGACCTCCTCCATTGTCTTCATGGAGTTGATAGAGATACCAAGAGGGAAACTCTCCTTTGCAAGTTATGCCGACCGCACCCATTCCTTAGTCACCAGGAGAACGTGAGACTCCTAGTGCAGCATGCTAGGCTGTGGCTGCTGCGCTCTCCAATTGAAGTATGCTTTGCATCGCATGTTACCTGTGAGTAATCTTTCCTATCCAAACTTTTGCTGCTAACTGACCAGAATCTCAACAGATGCGGATTTGCGAGATGGCGTTGATTGCAGCTTCAGTTGCTGCAAGGGCACCACAACAGGCGAGATCTATGAGAGGCCTCTAAAGGAGGAGGTGTGTCGAAGGCTGGATACAAGTCCGCCACCCCCGCCGTCGGCTGTGGAGTATACTATGCGACAGAGTGAAATTGCTGCACGGTATTTCGTCTTGATGCACCCCGAGTGGAGATATTGCCGTGAATCCCCACAAGGCAAGTGAGCAGCTCTTTGTTCAATTTGTTTGCGTGTGTTTTTTAAGTGTGTTTTTGATGTGGCTAGATTACCCAGACGCGCCCACACCATACAAGCAGCTGCTAAGGATCCAAGAGGCGTATTGGATCACTGAAAAGGAAGAGCCTCGGGGCAGGAATCACCATATGAGTGTCGTCAGCGCGATGAACGAAGATGACCCTGACTGGCCTCATGAGCAGTGGGAACAGTGGCGACAGACCGAATCTCCGGCCATGTATGCGTTGCTTACCAGGGAATGAATGTATAATCTAATTGTTGAAACGATCTCTCAGCTTAATCTTGTCATGAATTTTCTCCCACTCCCGGAGATCGGACCGAGCATCGCCCGTGCGGCGCTCTACCCCAGGACATCAAGAAGGCATGGAGGCGGCGGGCTCCTCAAAGACGGAGGATGGCAAAGAGGACAAGCCTAGAGAGCTTATAATGGATTCAACTCATTTGTAGAGGCTAGAGCCAGGAACCATTTGTTTCTTTGGACTTCCATTCCAGCAGCATTATAAGTGGTCATTTCCATGACCAATTAGTCCTCCCTCTATCGCGTGGAGGTGACCTCCTCTTTTTTTTTTTGGTCCCTTCTCCAACCTTGCCATCGTTGGCTTCACTTTCTACTTCGTTGGCTCCATTTTCTACTCCCGATTCATCTAGTTTCCTGTTCCACTATCAGTAATTCAGTGCTCACCGGCATTTTTTGTTGTCCTAGCGTTCACGGGAGTTCTTGGCGATCCACTGGAAGGTTTTGCCGCAGAGATTGTCCCAAACGTAACAAAAGCCTGCTGTGATGCCCATGAATCAAGGACTGGAAAATCTCTGAGATGGTGAATGTCCTTGACCAGCACGGCTCTTACTACCAGAGATGAAGGCGATGAAAATATACCGTTGATCACAGTCCGTCCTAACCGTTGGATTAGATAAACATGAGGCAAAAGACCCTTAATACGAATATGCTACGAATGAAATCTGAGTCACTTTTGAATTACAAGACTCTAGGTTATTGCGAAGAGCGGAGATGAAGGTTGGAGATGGCTCCTGCGTCCTCATCACTGGCGCTGGATCCGGCATTGGTACATCTCTTGTTGAAGAAAAGAATTTCTTGGCTGGAAAGATTTTAGATCGACTCGATCGAAGCGTTTACTTCGTGTTTGTGGCTCTTCCAGGGAGGGCGCTGGCGCTGGACCTTGCGAGACTCGGTGCCAGCATCACAATTGTGGATCTGTCACGTGAGAATGGGCTGCGAACGCTGAGCTTGGTGAGAGAGGAGCAGCAGAAGCTGATGAACCCTCCCTCTGCCATTTTCGTCGAGTGCGATGTCTGCGATCCAGGTGAGGGATCGTCGGCATGACTTTTTGTATGATGTTTAATTTCTCCTGTTCTATCCCAGCCCAAGTCGCAAAGGCGTTCAAGGAGCACAACGCAACCTTCGCGAGGCTGGACGCGTGCGTCAACTGTGCGGGGATCTCCGAGCAGGGCGACTTCGTGAGTGATGCGAAATGGCGCAAGGTCTTGAGCGTGAACCTCATGGCAGCCATTGAATGCACGATCCAAGCAGTAAGTCTCAATCCTCGAAGAGATTTCCAATACAACTTAAGGTACTTAATGTAACCATCTCTGGATCGTTTGAACAGATCCAAGCTATGAGGTCCCAGGACAGTCCCGGAGGAGCCATTGTCAATCTTGCTTCGGCTGCGGGACTCTTTCCTGTCCCTTTGTATCCGATCTACGCTGCATCCAAAGGTAATGGTCGTTTCTTTTTCTCCAGGTCCCTTTGTTAAGTTGTGTTTCTTTCTTTTCTTCTTTTGGACGATCAAAGGTGGACTGGTACAGTTCACAAGGTCGCTCGTGGAACTACAGAGCGAAGGAATTCGAGCAAACGTCCTGTGTCCCGGGGTTTGTAGTTCATCCATTTTGCTTTCTTTCTCTTGGCAGGATAGAGCGAACTTGACACGAAATATTGCTGATGTTTCAGTTCACTGAAACGCCCATGACTGACATTGTCCCCAAGGAGATGATCGCTGCGACTGGTGGATTCATACCAATGGAAAAGATAATCCAAGGTAACTTATCTTTCCTTTCAATGTTTGTCACGTTTTTCGTTCTCTTTGCCATGTTCCCAGCGATACTGGAGCTGATTGTGGACGAGAAGCAAGCCGGCGCATGCCTGTGGGTCTCCAATATGAACGGTTCCCTCTACTGGCCCTGCGATCTGAGCAAGCTCGGATGAAAGCAGCGTCTGACAAATCGACTTGGTGTTCCTTTGTTTACATAGAATGAGCGCTGTGATTTGATAGTAACTTAGCTGTCTCGTAGCGACGCTTGAACTTCTTCTCCCTGCTACAAATCTGATAAGCTCGAGTCGAGAGCTGCCAAGTCGCCGTGTGATCTATATGATATGACATTCAGCTACGAAACTTCGCCTGAAAAATTCATTTTACACCTGTCCAGGCTGATGAGTGATCTCTCCCGACGCTTGGATGAAGAGTGAAAGCCTAGGACTGAAGGAAGTGAAACAAGTACTCCTTATTTGTTTCACTCGGGATTTAGCTGCTCGGTCTCCTTGCCATACCAGGGGATTTAGCCTCCTTGCCATACCGGAGGACAGACTCGGGATTTGGCTGCTTACATGAAAGACTTTTGTATATACTAGAAGGATCTCAGTTTGGTCCCAATCCAGAAATATCTCTTGCTTCGTCAGAATTCTGAAAATCCTAATCGATCAATGAGGCAATGCGACCGTGTAGGTGAGGAATTTCTTGCTCCCGATCGAGGATTTCCAGAATATCTCGTCTCGGTTTTCCTGTAGAAGGATGTCACTAGAGCGCTGCAGCGAGAAAAACCTTTTTATATACCCTTTCCCTCCAACCCTCAAACCTGTGAGCTGTCACCCGTCAATGATCCATTGCCGCCAGCCCTCTGGTGGCGCTCAAAGCTCCTGAATCTTCCAACGTCGCTGGGCCGCTTGGGCCATTACAAGTCTCAGCAGCGGTTAATGATCCAGCACCAAGATTATCTCGACCATGAGCACGATCTATGGCTCATCCAGGAGTTAGTGCTCGAGAGGCTCCCCCTCTCGTCGCTCATGAACAGTCCGGGCGGTGTCCAGGGCGTGGAATGCTACGCTGTCCGTCGACTGCCCCCGTGTCCCTGCCAGGCCAGCTCATCGCGTATGACACGCGGGACGGGAGCTGGGCATGGCTGCCCGAATCTTGCTCTCTGCCTAGATCCTCCGGCTTGGTTGGGGCAGCCGGCGGAAAGCTCGTGTGCGCGACGACCGACTGCCCGGGCAGGCTGTTGGTTTGACCGTAAGTGGGATGAGGTAGTGTTTCCATATAGGTGGCACTCCACGACGCCCTTGCCACGTCAAGACCAGATCATCAGCGTCAGCGGCGACGGCGAATTTGTGGTCTACGAAGACAAGGGCGAGGCAGGTCAGTGGTTGACGTGGGAACCCGTCGCCAATTACAAGGGTTCTCCCGTAGTTCACTTTGTCGACACGCTCTACCACAACGAGAACGTTGACATTTGGATTGTGTCGTACTCTTTAAGCGACCAGACGACCGTGGCCAGACCAGGTGACATTCCCAGCTTTGTGGGACTGGGAGGGATGATCCAGTGCGGTGGTCAACTATGGACGTGGAATGCCTGGACTACTTTGGCTGTTCAGTGGCGGCCGCAGACGTACACCGTGGGAGTATGGCGCTTTGTGGCCGAGAGTAACAAATGCCAAGTGGTGACTACGGAAGAACGGGTTTTGCTGCGATGGTGGCGACACTTTGTGGGCGGTGCTGGTTGACGAGGAAGGCATGGTAGAAAACCTGGTGAGCTGTAGTATCAGCAGCAAGGAGTGGACTTTTCACTCGGCTGCTTGTAGTTTTCCAGTGAGTGCTTGTTTCTGGACACTTCCATGACATGTCCAAGTCCATAGCTAACTATGGATTTGTAATGGAAGTTACAATAACAACGAAATGCTCTACATAGAAACAAATGGAATAGAAGAGATACAAAAATGGAGGAACCTTTATCACTCCTTGACTACTACTTAGAGAGCTCTGGGAACGAGATCTTCTATCCCATGACGCACGATTCATATGTGGGAACCATGTACTTGATGTTGATGAAGGCGTCCTCGCCGCCGTGCGTTTCGAAGAGCTCCAGAGTTTTCTCCACCAGTTCGCCCATGCAGTTCTTCTTTTGCTGGCCGTAGTCGATGTGGCCTCCCAAGTTTTTCACGTTGTTTTTGAAGATGTTGAGGATCGGGAGGAGCTGGCGGTAGTATGGGACGAGGGACTGGCCGATCAATTCCTCGGATACGACGAGTTTGCATAGCAACTGCGAGCAAACAAACAAGGAATTAGCTGCGAAAGAGAAAGATCACAAGAACATGACGATACCTGGAGAGCTATGGTGATAACTCCCGGATCTCTGGTGTTGAGAGCTGTTTTGATCGGAATTATGAGCTGCGGAACACACGCGAGGATTTTACCTTGTCCGGTCTGTTCAAGCGATGGTGGTTAGATTAGAAAAGCCATGAAGCAAACATCTAAGAACCTTGAGAAGATCTTCGGACCCCTTGACGGCAATGAACCGGTATGGGTCTTCCTTCTCCCGAATTCCTTCGAAAAAGATGGGAAGGTAGTGGTGATAGTCAAGCTTTTTTACATCCGTTTTCCACAAGAGCGCAATCTTTGCAGTGCTGTGATCCACTTGGATCGGCAAATCTCCTCGCTCGTAGAGTTTTCTAAACTGTCGAGAAGAGGCAATGTTTGAGCCCGCAAGAAGAAGAACAAGGCAAAACTCACGAGACTGTTTGGTGGATTATCCCGTTTCCTGAAAGCCATCGCACAGGGTGGCTCGGCTTTCGGGACAGGCTTCGTGAGCTCCCCTCTTCGAAGCTTTTCGCCATCTCCTTTTCTCGTAAAGTCACAAGGATACTTCCTTGGAATGCGATGCCTGAGAGAAACAAAGAGTTTCAGAGAGATTCCTTCTAAGTTTGTATGGAAGCTTTGTTTTACCTGTATTCCCCGGTAGCTGCCCAGTATGGGAGTTCCTTCTCCGTTAGAAGTATTGGTTCGTGACGCCCAGCTCTTCTATGATACTAATTTGGAACAAAAATCGTAACAACAAAAGAAGAAGGATCAATTGAGAGATTTTCCACTCACCGGCACAGGAAGGGTTCGATCGAATGGCGTGAGTGAATACTTCGTCTTCTTCAATCCTGGCTTTCCATTGAGCTTGATATCGGCATACTCAAACGCGAAGAGCGATCCAGCAATGTCGTCCGAGGCCATGCTACAATCCTAGAAACTTTCTCTATTCTCTCCTAGGATCTACTCGCTGGACCAGAAATTCATGGCCGTCCAGGGTATGATGAAGATCAGCAGTAAAAGCTCGATGAAATGCCGGTGATCCTGTCCCTGCGGTTCCATTCCCTAGCTAGATCCACAGGGAAACGCTCCCCCAGCTTCTATCTCGTGTTCTTCCCAATTGCCAGGAATTTTTTTGACCTAGTTCCGCGCGCGCCGATGCCACGTCATTCGGCGCCTTGGGCCGGCTGAATCACATGACGCCATATGGCCACATTTTTTTTACCCTTTCCGACGTGGCAAGGGTTTTAGGTTTTAGGCTTTTAGGGTTCTACCGCGCCATGGTCAGGAAGCGCTCGTCAATCGCGTCTTCACCGCCAGTTCCTGCCTCGCCTGGTGGCGATCAAGCGGAGGAATCGGCTCGAGCTACAGTTTCCGGTGACAGGTGTGATCTTCTTGCGAGGAATGCGTACAGAGGCGTCGTTTCGTCCGCATTTGCGAGTGGATCGTCCGCCATTGTGTGGATGTCCGATGCGGCGATGCTCGAGGCTTCGATCTCGGTGTCGCAGCTCGTCTCGGTGAGAATTATAATCCTTTTGCGTTCCCGCAATCTCATTGCGAATGTGAACAGGTCGCGGTGTCGCCTCGATCGGCGGATTCTGGAGAGCCACATTCGTTGGAATTACTTTGCAATGCGAGCTGTGCGTCGCAAGAGCAAGCCGGAGGAGTGTTCGCGGTTGGAGCTGTATGGCCTTCCAAAACGGTAAAGTTACGTGATCTTCTTACCATATAGCCTTCTAAGTCTCTGGTCTTCTTCTTTCCAGCTTGTCAAGAACAACGTTCGTCTTTCATCGCATCTTTCTCAAACGCTTGGCTGCCCGGCTCTCGGCTCAGTTCTCTTGATCAGTTCTCTACGAGCTACATGCCGCTCCCGTGACATCGCCAACCTTTTGCATTTGCCACGCTCTGGTGAAGGAGAATGCGTTGCAGCTATCCAAGAGTGTAAGCATCTCTCTCTTCAAATATGCCAAGGATCTTTTAGCTTTGCATTAGAACACTCGGAGTTGGAGAGGGAGTCAGCGGCTCCCAGTTCTCCATTCAAAGTTTCTCCGTTCAAGGGATCTCCTTTGAAGACTCCGCCTCCTGCGAAGTCTACAACCGGGATCAGAGAGATAAGCAGTGCAGCAGCAAGGAGTTACTTGACAGGTGGATCATCGAAGATGAAGGAAGTTATTGAAAAGCTGGCAGCTCGTTGGCTATCCGGGAGGCTTCTACTTGTGGGAAATATGGTTACTGTGCCGGTTTGTGGGAGTGACTGTGTCTTTCACGTAAAGGCGGCAGAGAGCTTGACTTCTCAAGAGCTAGATTTGAGCGAGAAGCTCCAAGGTTTGTCACTGCAAGCGAACAACCCAGGCGGGATTCTTTACTTTACGAATCACAAGACGACTGTTAACATTGAACTGGACGAGGAAAGCGTTTTGAAAGAGTCTGATACGGTGGAAACCAGAACTCGGCTTTTCACGGAAACTACGTCATCCTATTCTTCGCTTGGTGGATTAGCGGAGGAGATTGAAACTCTCAAGGAAATTGTGCAGTATTCTTTGCTCAAGCCAGAAACGTTGGCGAGGTATGTGTTGCTGTTTCACATTGTTTTGAAATGGTACTGAAATTTTTCCAGGTACTGTTTAAAGAGAACGAAAGGAGTACTTTTGTATGGACCTCCAGGAACTGGAAAGACTTCCCTTGCGCAAGCTGTTGCAAAGGAAGCAGGCGTAAAAATGCTCGTAATCAATGGTCCTGAAATAGTGACTGAGTACCACGGCGAAAGCGAAGCGGCAATGAAAGCCATCTTTGATTCAGCTGCCCGGGAAGCACCTTCAGTGGTAAGGCTCCTTACTGGTTTCTTATGTTTTCCATTAACGTAGCTTTCTAAAGGTTTTTATAGACGAACTGGATGCAATCACGCCACAACGTAGAGAAGGCAGTGAAGGACTTGGACAACGCTTGATGGCCACTCTTCTCACGTCTATGGATGGCGTGCACCAGAACGGTGTTCTTGTTATTGCCGCAACAAACCGTCCAGAGAGTATAGATCCGGCTTTGAGGCGT